TCAAGTAATACATTTAAATTTCATGCAAGTTATACGTTAAATTAAGTACATTAAAAACCCATTTTTTAACAAATTATGACTAATGCTAAACGAATACAAAATTTGAATGCTCTAGTCTAACATATGTACAATTATTAGTATTTTTAACTTTTTTTTTTTTAATTTTCCCGCACTTTGAGGTAAAGTCTCTAGTAGTATTGCAGGTAATTCGTTCGAATTTTTTGTTGCCCGGTTTCCGAAATAAATTTTTCCAATGTCTGGTTTTTGTCTTTTCCCCATATTTTTGCAATTGTGGTCCTGGCGACTATTGTATGATGATTTTAAGAGTCGCTTCTGAATATCCTTCCAAGCTGGTTCGCCTTTGTAAGCTCTGTAGAGAGCACAGAGTCTAGCTGTTTCCCGACGTTTCTGGAAGGATTTATACATGGGACTGTTTGAATTTGTTTTCCCTTGTAATACAAATTTTTGAATTTTATTTAAAGTATGTACTTGTCCTTCACGGTAAGGATCCCAACAAACTGAACCGTGTTCCAGAATAGGTCGAACTAGCGACGTGTAAGCAAGTTTCCGCGATTCAGCACTAGCTCATCTAAGAATTCTCTCACGAAATGCAGAGCTTTCCATGCATTTCTGGCCACATAGTTCACTTTCTCGGCCCATCCCAAATGTTCGTTAATATTAATTTCTAAATATTTAATACTGCTTATCCTGGATATCGAATCGCCTTTCAGAGTATACAAGATATTTTCTGTTTTTTTCTTATTGGAGAAACAGATAGCTTTGCATTTTTTTGTATTAATTTCCATTTCATTCTCTGTGGTCAAGCTTTCTATTTCGTTTAGGTCTGCTTGTAACACTTGAATGTCCTGGGTATCTTTAATTTATCTGTAGAGTATACAATCGTCTGCACAGGTGAATTTCGGACTTAATGTCCCGACCGATGTCGTTTACATAAGCAATGAACAGCAACGGACCTAGAATGCTTCCCTGAGGGAGCCCCGACGTAACTTCGACACTTCGCGAAAGTTTAACACCTACTCTTACTCTTTGAGTTCTCCCACTGAGCCATTCTCGGATCCAAGATACTACTCTAGTGTCGTCCCGCCCTAGCAAGTGTTGCTATTAATCGTGTCGTGCGAACAAGATCGACAGCTTTTGAGAAGTCTATGACGACTGCGACAATTCTCCCACTCGCATCGTGGGGATCAGAAAATATATTATATACAGAGACTGTCTGGTTTCGCACGAATAAACTTGTTCTAAACCCATGTTGCCCTCTCACAAAGCACCTGTCTCGCATCGCGTTTTAACTTTGTTGCTGCAATGCGATTCTCAATGTTTTTGCAGACAACCGATGTTAGATAATTGCCGGGAGTTTCTACTTTGAGCAACTGTCCTCCTTTAAATAGTATAGGAACACAATTGCGCTTTTCAGTCGTCAGGAAAAGATGCATTAGTTAGAGTTTTTGAAAAATTCGCAAGAGATACGGAATCATGGCTTCACCCCTTAATTTTAAGAAATCTCCAGAAATGCCATCACGCCCCACTGATTTAGGTTTCCCTAGTTTATTCCGTTTCGAATATCCTTCGCGTTAATTTCTATAGACGGACCTCCGAGGAGGGCTGCAGTAAAATTTCTTCTTTTGGGAAATACAGATGCAAAGTACTTGTTAAATAACTCAGCTTTGCAGTAGTCTTACACTACCATATTGTTTTGTGCATCCTTGATAGAAATAATACCATATTTTCTGTCCTTGCGTTTCCTCACGTAGCTGTAAAAGTTTTTGCTACTTTTTCTTTGATCTTGCGACAGAATAATACGTAGATACGTATCCTGTGCCGTTATTTTTTCTGTTAAGAGGTCTTTAGATAGTTGCCTGAAAAATTTTGCATGCCAGTCACTCTTTTTCCTTTTACTATACGCTCTCCTGACGTGGATTTTAAGTTTCTCACTTTTTTATTGTAATATCCAGGGTCTGAGTTTATTTTCAAACCTTTGTGTGGCACGAGACGCTCTAACACTTCCATCATTATTTCTTTAAAATTCTGCCATATTTCTTCTAAAGACTTGCCCAATTTAGGTCATTATTTTTTAAAAATTGTTGTAATCCTAAACGGTCTGCTTTGCTAAAAATGTTAGAACTTGGTGTTAAACTGTCCTCCGAACCCGCCCCTTTAAGCTTTAGCAATATACCATTGTGGTCACTAATCCCCTTCACTACCTCGCAGTCGAGAACGGCATCTTGAGGACGAACAAGGAAAACGTCTAGCAGTGCCCCATCCCTCGTCGGCGATCTTACTACCTGCTCAAAAATTGTCCCCGGCCAGTTCGTTTACGATACGCTGCGCCTTTTGATACGTCACTTTTCCAAGAAATGTTTGGAAGATTTAAATCGCCAGAAATTATTGTGAATTTATTTGAATATTTATTCAAACGTGCTAATTCAGCAAGTGTTTCCTAAATCTTCATTAGGTGCCCTATATATTCCTATTATTTTCCACGTATGTTTTGCATCACTCGTTTTTATTTCTACCCCTATTATTTCTAATTTTGTATCTTTCCAAAGTTCTACAGATCAAAGTGATCGTTTCACGCAAATAAAAACACCTCCTCCTTGGCCACACCTATGTCGCCTATAGCCTACATAATCATTCCTAAATACTTCAACATTCACTATTTCCCGGTCGAGCCATGATTCCGTATCTACTACGATGTCTGGATTGTACATATCAACTAAGTTCCAAAATCTTTCAATTTTTTTAATAAGCTTCTACAATTCAGCCTGCAATACCTGCAATACTACTAGCGACTTACCTTCACTATTTCTGCATTTCCCTGGTGGTTGTCAGGGTCACTGCGACTCTGAACTCCCCCAAAAGCAACACGGGAGAATAGGCAACAGAATCGTTTCACCCCTCTACGGTTTAGGTGTCAAATTTTCTGAAGCCACCATCCAGCTATTAATATAACTATCAACGAATTTTGACATCCAAACAATCCGCAACCCAGTCGTATGCTTCGTTAATTGCTCCTACTCGTTGCCATCGTATTCAGCATTCCATCAGCATTCCATTTAAAACTATTTTAGCACCAGGAAATTTCTTTTTGGCCACCGTTGTTAAGTCGTATATGTCACCAGTAATGTAGTAATTACTTCTTGACCATATATCATTCGTACCCACGTGTATAATAACGATGTCTGGGAATCCGAGAGTATTGTTTTCCACATATCTACGCAGCTTATCGGTCCCTATTCCTGGCAGGCATATTACTGACATGTCTTTCACCCCATTTGCAATGTCCCGCACTATAGACAAATACTATAGAGACAATACAGGACACTTCCCCGTTCTTCCACGCAACCGATGGAAACAAGTTCCCACTAGCGTCCTAGTGTCAAACCTGTATGTTCACGCCAAATAAAGACATAATATGATTCTAACGAAGAAATACTTTTTTACCTAACAAATAAGATTCATTTTTACGTACTTTTCTGGTGATTAATTTATTGAATGGCTCAAATAGCGGGAAAATAATAATGTACAAAAGAGATGTTTATATATTCAATAATAAAATGTTTCAAATGCAAAGATTTTCCTTGCCTTAATGCTTCTAGTGATACATTTGGTATTTTTTCATTTGTTTTAATTGAAAAGCACTGTATCATACAAATTAGTACACTCCTCTCATATATTTTCCAATTGAATATTAATCATTTGCATTAATTGTTTTTTGACCTCAAGTATTCTGTGACGTAAACAATTTAAAAAGTCGCTATCGAAAACATACTTAGTCTTAGAAAACAAACTAATAGATAATTTATTTGGGTAGAAAAGAATGGCATTCCCATACTGCTTAGTCAGAATATGCGAGTTTCTTTTCATCTATATTGGATGAATTATTTTTACGTGAAGAACGAACGCGAGTTCTTTTGAATTTCATAATTAAAACAGCCAAAAACTTCACAAACTTTTCCTGCCATAAGGAAGGATGTCAAGAACAGAATTGGAAAATAAGTTTTCCAGAAATCGACCAGAAAGACAAATTAAAAGAAATCGAGCAGAAAATAAACACCAACAGAGCACCGAGCTTAGGCTATATGAGTTTTCTCCAGGTTCTGCCATTAGATGGAGCTGGCATCAGTGTTACTCGATATATCGCGAAGTGTCCTGTATTGTCTCTATAGTATTTGCTATAGAGTCTCCTATCACTAGACACGCTTTGCTATTGGGTTCATTGGGTTGAGTCACTAGTTTTTCTTTTAGCTGTTCATTCTCCTTCTTCAGTTCTTCTATTTTACTTATGCAGATTTTAGGTCTAACTCGAGTTGTCATTCTAGCGGCATCTTTCATTTCCCTATCTTTTCTGCACAGTTCACTAGACCATTTTTCACTATTAATTTCAGTAGTTTTTACGTTGCCGCACCTGTTATGAAACCATTGCTTACACACATCACATTGCGTTCCCGACTTAAGATTTCCGCTACAAACACTACACACAATTTTAATAACGTTGTCCACTCCCATGCCAGGTCCTGGATTACGTTCAATACCGCCTATTACCAGTAGCATTAATATCACTGATGCACACGATAGCGCCATGCGTAGGGCCCTGGAAGCAGTAGCAGTACCAGGCGCACGCGCTGGTGAAAGGTACGCGGTCCGCCGGCAGGTAGAGTGCCCCGCCCAGATCTGCTCTAAGCCACAAACCATGCTGACGAGCTCCCTGAAGACACGTCCGACCCCGACGACTGCTTCCCTGAGTCAGACGATTCCTCGGCCCCGTAAAGTAACACACATAGAATGCTCCTATTATACAACACTTTAGTGTTAACTAATGTCAACTTCCTCCGGACAAAATTAGAAGTATGCTTAAAAGCTGTTCTTACTTTTGGCTTAATTCACTCATTTTGGATTATATGAACATTAATCTGCAGGACATTGACATGTGAATTAGGAAATTATCCAGATTTTCACTTTTTCCGTAACACACTTTGTTTACGATTGCTCCTTACGTTAGGAAGGCCAATGTAGTCCATAAAACTAGTGTTTTAAATATGGAGGTGTACGAATATTTTTTCCTAAGGTTGCCCTTGGTGTTTATTACCGGTGAGTTGGTGACACCAGACGGATTCGAATTCGTAGGCCAACTGCTCTGATAAGTGGTCTTCCAGATCACATCATGACGCCGGAGTAGCATACTGTACAACGGGCCAGGGACCGCCCCTCATCTCTCCTTCTCATTCCTCTACTATCGATATCATTTCGTAATCATTTTCTTATTATCATTGAAAAAGTAAAGGAGCAAGAAAAGTCGAGGGTGGGGATTGCGTTTATACTCACTGAAGTCCTCGTTGCCAGTGAAGAGATTCGACGCGTACACCTTCATGTCCTCCACCTCAGGAAACATGTAGAAATGGTCGAGGCGCACGTAGCCCTGGTTGCGCTTCTTGATGTGCGTGCCGGTCAAGTTCCATGTAGTGCTGACGCCAGCTGCAACAGGAGAGAGCGACATGTTGGGGATCTCCGCAGTGCCAAAGGGCATTCCGCGAATAAAGAGGCGTTGCTAGATATGCGCAGTGAACCAAATCAGTACCGCTAATGAACCTGTTTATACTCTGTGAACATTTGACAGGCACCAGCATTTAAATATCAGTTAGATTCTTTGACTTTGATTTATTGTCAGCATTTTAAAATACCGGGAGTCTCGTAGAAAATGGTTTTACTCCGTCATTGGTCCGTTCATTTAAAAATGTATTAATATTTTAATTTATAGTAACCTACGATAAAAGACAGTAAACTAAAATTTTATTAGGGAGTGAGAAAGTTTAGACCACGAATCAGATGACAAATCTCCATTCAAATATCTTGCATTACCTGTAAAACGTAATTTCTTCAGCCAAATTTTTCTACAGAAACTCTATCGGGTAAACACATAATTTTTAGTTTTGTCTCAAATTTAAAACTGAAACCAGTGTTGTATTAACATTTTAAAAAAATTCTCAAAACTTTCTACACATTTTTTATTTAATTGTTTCCTTTAAGATAGAAAAGAACGCTTAAAAATGGCTTAGGTCCTATTTAAGTTTAGCTATTTGAATTTTCGAAAATTGTAAAAGTTAAATTTTATTACCGTCTGGCTACAACTTAAATATAAAAGATAAGATTTTTATTAATTAAAAATTGTTATTTAAAGATATGTCTTTAAATAGGATCATGCATAATTTTCCGAAAATATGAGTATTTTTTGCGTAATTCTGTGTGAAATCAGACAATTTTTAAACCATTTTTTTTTAAAATAGCACTATTGTTTTCTTTTTTTCGAATGTAGCACAGTACTCTTTTAAAAAAGGTGCAGGTTGCAATTTCAATTTACTTTCTCTATTTTCGCAAATTGTATTACAGCCACTGCAAAACTGCACTACTGAGAAGAAATTTTGTTCCTGAATGCAATTAGTTCTAAAACTATTTAAATAAGTCCATGAACAATGTTTAGAAAGTACGAGTAGTTCTCGCGTGTTTTCTACCTCTTGTAATGGCATATTAAAGGAAAAAAGTTTTTCTCAAAAATGGTTCCAATTTTTTTGTCATATACAGCACAAGACGCTTTAACAAAGGCAGGACGCAGGTCTAACTTTAGTTATAGTTGCTGAATTTTCGTAAATTGCAAATGTTACAAATATTGCGAGAAAGTATATGCTAATGCAGTATCTACTTTTTTATATATTAATCCTTGAGTTGATGTAATTGATTAGGTTATACATAATACACACGTACCTCTATATTCACGCGGAAGAAATTCCAACATGAATCAAAATATTTGTTTTCCTTTAATTGACTCGCCGCTGCAGGTTTCGACAGCGCCAACGGTAGAACTAGTGGTGCCACAGAATGGTACAGACGTATTAGTTTTCTATTTCGTTAGGTCTTGGTTAGCTATTCAAATTTGCCACATATTCTTGCTTGCTACTATCTATCGCCGCACAAAGTTTTATTTCTTCGACATTTTCTAAATTTTTCGGTTTCCTAATAGTAGAGTGGAAATAATATTTTAGAATTATTAAAGAACAGTAAAACCTTGACTTATATGGCAATTTCCTTTGAAAAACTTCGACTCGTTTTTAAAAAACTGGCGTTTAAGTGCTACTGTAAATTCGAAACTTGGAGATATTTTTTACAAAAAGTTTTGAGTTTTCGAAAAACTTAATTTAAAGTATTTTTAAGTACAGTAACTCACAAATACAATAGTATTTACAAATTACTGGCAATGTGTATATCAACGGTGTGCGAGATCTTTAAATAATTTACATTTGTGTAATTTTTGAGAAAACAAAAAGTGCACTGAAGTAAACTTTACGATCTTATTAAAGAGTGTAATTAACATTATCCGTTCGAAAAGTTTAAAGAAAAAATTGAAGCCGTTTTTGAGAAAATGACGTTTGGGTGTTTCTAAAAATGCGGAGTTTTGAACTTGTTTTCACAGAAAACGGCAGAGTTGTCGAGAAGTTTAATACATTATTTAAAGCACATGTTCTCATAAATACAATAATGTGAACAAATTGTCGCTAATATACATATTAATGACATGAGAGGCAAGTCAAAAAGATTACATTTTTGTACTTTTTGAAAAAACAAAAGAATAGAGCAGTATGGAGTTTATGTCATCTCAGAGTACATTTTGCACTATCCCTATCAAAGATTAAAGAAAAAAATGGAGCCATTTTTGAGAAAATCTAGTTTTGGGAATTTTTTAAAATCGCACATATTGCTCGCAATATTGCGCCAAAACTACTGAAATTTTCAAAACAATGTACATGGCCTTAATGATATAACTAACTATGGAGAACAAATTTTATCTGAAGAAAAATATTGTAGATGTAGGAAGACGCCGAAAAAAATCAGTATTTTGCAATTTTCGAAAATTCAGAGTTATCAATGGAAATCGTACCTATGCCGCCTTGATAGGAGTATTTTACTGTACTACTTTACTGTATTTTACTGTACAGCAATTCATTTCACATCTCTTCTTACGTTCCTTTTTCTTGGTTCGTCTTTCATTAACAACACATACAAACTCCATTTTACACGACACCATGATAACCCGGGTAGATATACTCGGTGTAGGTAGTATACAGTATATATACTCGGTGCAGTAGCCTTTGTAATTCTGTACTGAACATGCGTAGCTCGTGAGCCCATCGTGTCATTCCTGAGTTAGAGGGAGTCTGGTCACACCAGTTCTTCAACTTATTTATAATGGCACTTGACACTTAATCAGCTCTTACGGTGTCATCCAATCGAAAGCTCAAACGTCACCATAGTGACGTCACTAATGTTTTTAAAGCTCCCGATTGGATGACACCGTAACAGCAGACGTACGTAAAGTGCCACTATAAATAAATCGAAGTATAGATTTGATGCCAGGAAGCACCGTAGGTCGCGGACTTGAGCTTATTCCCACTCACACAATTTACCGGAGAGGGAAAATGATTTTCGAGTAGGATTTGAGGTTGAAGAATACGTATCATCCTGTCAGAACGCGCCACAACACTTATTTCATGATTTACGCGGAATTGAAATTCACAGACCCTATGTAATCCATACTTGGAAGCAAATGCCAAAAGTTTCTACACATTTAGGACGACCAAATATGCAAGGAAGAGGGTTGAAAGGTCATAAATGGTCAGGTAGTGCTAAAAGACCATAACCCAGAAGCATCTGTACCCGAGGCAGGTTTCGAACCCGCGACCCAGCAAATCACAACGCACGTACTCAGGCTGATGTTGTAGACGCCCTTGCCCTCGATGGGGAAGACGACGATCTTGCCCTGTGCCTTGTAGTCGCCCTCCATGAATATGCGCGGGAAGTACAAGTCCACCTCCATGTGGAACTTGTTGGAGTCGTTCAGGTTAGACCTGTCAACAGAACATAAAGTATTAGTTATACAATGTCAGGTTTGGTGAAATGTAGCGTTCTTGCCGTCCTCGTGCTGGCGAAAGAGAAATAAAAAGATTTTGATGTTTATTTTTTGTACAGCAGTATAGTTTATTTCGCGAAATTAATATACTTAACAAAGTTGCTGAACGTCAGTTAAATATGACTAGCGAAATCATTGAATGGAACTAGTAATGGATATCAAATTTTATGAAGATATAATGAGATAAAAGTACAAATACCAAAAAACTTCTTTTAATTGGACTCCGGCCGTTATTCATCCAAACAGGAAAACAAGAATTAAAAGAAATATTAGTTCATGACTGTATAGGAGTCTGAGCAACACCGCCTAAATTAAACACCTAAAAAAACAACTTGTTCAACTAATAATTTTATTGTAAATTAAATCGGCTTCAATTAACAGTCAACTCCCTCAATAATAAATATTACCAATTGCTCTAACTTCACAATTACTTTTCTCAAAAAGTAAATCTAGACTATTTATGTTTGTAATATTCGTTTTTTTACTTGTTTGTAGTTAATGTTACCAAATATTTAATTAATGAAGTAAATAGTACAATGAATGTAACATTATTTCAAAAAATAAAACTTTTCAAATGTTTTCATTTAGCATTTTTAAAACACCAATTTCAAAGTCGTAGAGAAAGTATAGTCTTCTCCTCTCGTAGCATGGCTATTATTCACTCGTAGAAATCCCAACATTCGCTCTTACGTTTTTCCAGTCGTGAACATCAACTCGTGAATAATAGTTGTCATTCTAAGCTCGTTGAAGAATATACTAATTATACCGTGGAAAAATAGTACATAATTATCCATCATAGTCGACTTAAAAAATGCAAATATTGGGGGTTTGAAAAAAAAGCAACCCGGAGGGCCCAAAATATTAGTGTACGAAAATAGATCTGATAAAGTAGGGCAGAACAAAATATTGTCTGCCGCTTCGGAGAAGGAGGGCTATTACGTAATTCCAACGTATTGCAAGACCAAGCGCTCCCGACTGTAACATAGCTGGAGAAATCCGAGAGATACCGCATGTCAAAGCGGCAACGGTGTCTCAGGACGTCAAGCGATGTCTCTGCCGTGCCTCTGACCGAGAGGTCCTGGTGTTACCCGAGTGCCTCTGACCGAGAGTTCTGACGGTGGCAGGCTATATACTAGCGTGTCAGCTAGGTCAAATTCACCCCCTGTCTGGAGGATAATTCTAATCTCCTGCTACTCTGATCGGTAGTTATCCGTGAATTCTCCGATCAACACTAGGCGAATGCCGGAGTTGTACCATAGCAAACGGGCCTCGGAGCGCGCGCGATGTGACCTTTCCCCTTCTCGCCCCTTACTTACCCATTACTTAGTAGCTTCACCCCTTACTTACACACACACTTGCATGCAATTCACTACCACACATGTCGGGAATCAGACGTGAGCTTAGAGCTCGCTCCGTCTCGGAAGGCGCCTCGCTGTTGGGAGACACCTGGATGGGGAATTCCCCGCAAGCCGACGTGTAGCTCGGTGCTGGATCTGACCAGCTATCGTGGGAAGAACACCTCTACCTCCCCTGATTAAGAAATGCAATACACTTACGCGGCCAATGTCCATAGATGTGGACGCGCCCGGCAACACGATAAAATCAATCAACGAAGCGGCATTCGGGCCCGTAGCCCTTCTGCCTGAGCGCGCATCGCACCTCTAGGATCCCAATCTCTTTAATGCTACCGTTGTATGCGGTTTAACCAACAAACGAAACGAAGGGTGATTCGCTTCGCACCACCCGCCCCTGCTCACCTCACAGCCAGCACCTGCGCGCTGCTGAGGCCGATGGACCGCGTGTTGCGGATGAGCATCTTGCCGGCCACTTGGCCCTGCTTGTACTGCAGCAGCATCTCTGGCAGCAGGTGCGGGTCCAGAGCCGCCAGGCCTAGCTCTTGCGACCCTGCAACAAAGCATTAGATGCGTTAGAACACGGCTATTCGGGGTCGGTTGAAAATTATGGAAATAAGAATAAAAAAGAGGAGAACTTTCTGTTGACGGTGTAGGACGGATTCAGTTATATTAATCTTCAATGTGACAGAACCAACTCACTTGACATATTTTTTTTCTATTTTGTATCGACTCGCCTAATGGATGATCTAAGCACACACGTACACACGCAAATACACACATGCATACACACACGTCTCTAGTCAAGCTCAAGGATAACAGAAAAATTCCTCATTACATTATAACTTTCTACGAGCGGAGTGCGGCCGCTTAAAATTTACTTCATATTACTTTTCTTTACCCACATTTCAAATTGCTTAGGATGTCAGGGTGAACTTCCTTAAAGAACGTTTATATTGTTTCCAGGGATGCCTCTGAGCTTAGGATTGAAATACTTTCCTTTCACTTTTCAAGTTTTCAGGCAGGGAAAAGGGGTGGGGCAAAGAGTTTCGCTCCCCAGACGGTCGTCAACGAAAAAGCCACAGCGGTCGCAGGTCTAGCGCCCGGTGAATGCCCCTCTGTTGAAGATCCTCTAGCTGATTATAGTAATTTGCGAATATTGCACGACGCGTAATTTACAAGTTCACATATGATCACTACCTATCAACCAGGTACACGTTCTCGGAACTCAAGCGTCGAACAGACCACTTCTTCTCATTCCGTCGGTTAGAGAGCTTTTGTTCCCATACAACTTCCTAGAAAATTTATATTAGGAATGTTCACGAGGAGAACCTTTTCTGAACCTTCTTTGCGAAGGAGTTTCATATCAGTCTTCATAGTAAAAAGCATTTTCCACTGATCACTAGTCAACAACTTCTTCCCGAGAAAGTACTTCCGAGTGTTCACTGGGGAGAGAATAAAATTCAAATGAATGTTCAAAAACAGTGGTTCTTATAAAAAATTAAGTGCGCACTACCGTGGCATAATTCAGAATACTCTAAGAAGGTCACAAACTCGAGTGAATGTTCTTTGATATGCCTATATCTCCGAAACTTTCGTTTCTCCCGCTCAGCAAACACCTCCCCGCTCCGTCTCTGCTGCTCATCTGATGAACTTGTCACTCATACCTCACAGAGGAACGAAGCGCCTACCAATAATATTCGAACTACGTTCAGTTAACTGTAATTACCCTGTAATTCATTTTCTGGAAGAGAAGCTTTAGTGAAAAATCTTTTCGCGTTTCACCAGCAAAGTTGTTTTCCGAGAGAAGCAATTTCCCGAGAGTTTTCTTGCCAGAGAATCAAATTCGAGTGAACGTTCAATAGTGGGGTTCTTATCCGAAAAAAGATTCGAGTGTTCACTAGCTTGGCATGAATCAGTGTTTTACAGTGGAAACTGCAAGGCATATCCGTGGTGCCCTGCCAGTGTAGGAGCTGAATTACCAATCAAATATTTCGCGGGTACCTTCGAATCCCACGTTTGCCCTAATTACTGAAATCAAGAACTTAAGAGGCGTCCGTAGGCTCATAAACGCCCATTAACGTGTATACACCTTTCAGAACGTACCAAGTCGTACGGAATAAAATTGTTCATTTTGATGTACTTTATTTTTTATGTCGAAATCTACGAGGAAAAAGAGTTATTTCTAAAAAGCCTTTTATTAATACTTTCACAGTTCGACGTTCAAAAGCTTCTAATGATAATACATAAATCTGTTGAACAAGAATCTTCTCCTTCTTGTTTATTCATAACACGCGCACTGTAACGCAGGGATGTGGAACATCATTAGTGATTCTTACGTACATCTGAAGGTTCAGCAATTATCATGTTTTTCTGCTTCTTTGTTATTTTTCTGCAGTGAAAAGGTAATTTGACGTAACACGAACAAGAGAACAAAGCAATTGCAATTATTTCCGTCTTTTCTTGCGTGTTGTTTAGAAGGTTTGCTTGCAAGTTGTTGCGAAAATGTTGCTGCCTCAAGAATTTTAATGAATAGCAATCCTTGGTAAGTGAAGAGGCTATTCATGGAATTAAAAAACCTTTGTACCCAGATACTTTTATTACAAAAATGTGATTTTTTTATTACTTCGCTTCCCCAAAGTGTGGCACGAAGAATTACGACTCAAATGAAATAATATATCGAAACAATATATTTGTTGAAATCCTTACATTCTACAAATATAGGAGAATGTTTAAAATAAAGCAGGAAAAAGCTTGCTCAGACCTAAAGACGTTCTCGTAGGAGATCCACAAGGTAGTCCGCGAGCCTATGTAGTATGTAATACATCCTAGTGAATACCAAAACCAGAATGGGGGATGTAGCTACTCGAGGTGACGTTTCAGCTTTGATTACAAGTGAACGCGACGGGGCGATCTCTAACTGGCGTATACAAGAAGCAACAGTATTGACAATTGGACAAAAAAGAAAGTTACGCTTAGTGAAGAAAAATCAATTAAAGATGAACAATTCAACATCACTGGTAATAAATATAATTATATTTTTATATAAAAACAAAGCGTTCTATTTAAGAAAGTGCAAAGCATACAAGGAGCAGAACCAAGATAATGGAATTTTTTCCTAACAAAGTTCATCTTAAAATTGTATGTGCACTGTCCTATGTCAAACTTCTGCTAAACACGTAAATATGGAAATTTCAGTATTTAAAGACGAAATTATAAGGTTCGCGAAGAAGCGTGAATACAGAATTCACCTATATGAATATCCAGAAATTCAACTATTGAAAAATCAGCATCTGTTCCAAAGATTGAACCATGTAATGTAGTGTGTTGTCAAAAGCCAAGTACGAGTATTGAGAGCAGGTCATGATGTTTAGTCTTCAGCTACAGATCTAAAGTACGCCATTGGCCTACATTTAGTAGATACGCATTGAGCTGTCAAAGACAAGTTGGTGGGTGATCTTTCAGACTAGTGTTAATGTGTCAAAAGATAAAATTAATGCAATTCGGTTACTTCACCACAAGTCAAATGGTGGAGTGAAACCACAAGTTTCTTATGAAATTTCGAACACATTCAATATTGTATTTAATAACAATAAGTGCAATGTGAGACGTTGAGCGGTGGAGATGGAAACTCAGGGACAGGAAAATGTGGTGGCGATAGTGGACGCGCAAGATACTGGAAGGTCCAGCACCTCCCTGTAAAATTCTGGAGTTCGGTTTGCGCGTAGCAGAAGCCGCTGCAGCATAGCTGAATCGAATTGAACCACCGTCTCAAAGATGTGGCGGCTTCTCTAATCTGTTTCTGTAGTTTAGTTGATTAGTTCCAGGCAAGTATAACAATTAGACGCGAACAGCGCGAGATTTTTCTTTACTTATCATTATCCCATCCTCACCCTCGCCCACACTTACACACATATTTTCCACACCATCAATCATATAGGGGTCCCGCGGGGAGAGGTCACCTGGAAGAAAACTCCGGAAGCAAAAGAGTTGGTCGGCACTAGACTTCATCTTCCGGGGGGAGGGGCGAACAACGCCCTTTCCTAGTTACAAGCGCTACGCACGCGCGACTAATGACTATAACAGTACACGTGCCTGGAAACTGGTTCAGTTAAACGCAGGCTTCCTGCATTGCGCGAGAGCCCGGTGGCAAGCTGTGTGCCCGCAGACGCCCTGGGCGGTGACCATTGCTTGACGTACTAATGCGATATGTAGTCTAGCCCCGTGCCAAGATACAAGGCGGGTGCCATTGTCTCCTTAAAATTCATCAAATGGAGCATGATGGAAACTTGGAATATTATTGCGAATGATTTTTAATGGTTTAAAGACACGCTACCTAAACGATTCAGGGATGTTTTTAGCAAATTTCTCAAACTCCAAACTTCACTAAATTGATTTCGATTAGCGGCTCTCTTCCATTTGTGTGGTGGCTCGGGACAAAACAATTACAATAATTACATTTCATGATCATAGATATTACAAATGTAGATCATTTTATGTTAATTGATGTCCCGAGGGACTATATAACTTTTTGTTAGTGATAGGTTTTCTCAAAACAATTTGTGGGGGAAAATTGTAATAAAGGAAAACAAAAGAAACTGACGATGTTTTTTTAATGAAATACGAATATAGTTTTTTTTATTTTTATTAATGCGAGAGTTTAATTTCATTCTGACATTTTCGTCTGTCGATCTCTAATTTTTTTACGTAAAATGCTTTGGAATTATGCGGTGCACAGACTCAGTGTAAATGTAAGCTCGTTTTGGAAGACGTTGACCAGTACTCGTCAACTTGAACATGAATAGCGAAGTGTCAACAATGCCCTAACGTATTCCATAACGTGTAGAATTACGCCGTAGTTTTTGCAATTTCGTTTTCTCTGCGAAATGAGTCATTTTCTCCGCGTAGGTTACGGGCCGGAAATCCTGTCATGTATGAATGGAGGAGAGTCGTTTCGCCTTTGAATATTTGTTGCGTCGTGTTTGCTCGGCTCGGCGTGGCTTCGGCCCTGGGCGGCGGCGGCGGGCGGCGGTGGCGGGGGCCAAGGCGAAGGCCGCGCGGCCGGAAGTGCGCAGCGGCGTCCGCACAGACCGCGTCACACCCAGGCGCCAGAGACCGCGAGGCCGCATGGCTATTACGCACCACAATTCGGCGTCCAGAGTCTTCGGCCACAACCAGTCTTCAACTGGGTTTATTCGTCAGCGACTTCATTGTCATACTCTTTTCTTTATTAGATTTATTAATAATTCTGCAATTAAGTTTGAGAACTTGGTGGCAGAATACACTAACTTAACATTACAAAACTTAACAACTATACAAACTTATCTTCCTATTTATCTTATTTTTCTTTATCTTCTTTATATTCGTTTTCTTTTTCTTCATCTCCATCTCTCGTCAACCTTTTTGTCTTCGATACTTCTCTCATGCCTCCTGTTTCCTCCTTTCTTCTTCTTCTTCTTCTTCTTCTTCTCTGCCTTCTTTTACTTCTTCGCCTTTTTCTTCTTCCTTGCCTTCTTTGTAATATTGTTCTTCTTCTTTCTCGTCTTCCTTTTA